GTAAACGATGTGGTGTCATTCACGCTCATACGGTAAGCTAATAGAGCACGTTGCAGATAGAGGTCCCAATCCTGGTGATCATTATTGGTTGTGGCGAGGATGCGCTCCAGTGTTCTGTTAAACCGCTCGATGAGGCCGTCACTCTGGGGATGGTAGGGCGTCGTTCGAGTTTTGTGAATATCCAGCATGGTGCATATGGACTTGAACAGGTTGGACTCGAACTGGGCACCTTGGTCAGTATGCAGACTATGCGGTGCACCATAGCGACAGACGAAGCCGTCAACGAAATATCGGGCGACTGTCTCGGCCCGGATGTCTGGGAGCGGAAACGCCTCGTACCATTTCGTGAAATAGTCTCCAACGACGAGAATGTAGCGGTTTCCTCGTGATGTCACCGGAAGCGGGCCCATAATATCCATTCCGACTCGTTGGAGAGGAAAGGATGGCTGCGACGTCACCATTGGCGCCCGAGGTGTTGGGACAGGTGGTTTGGGGCGCTGGCAGACTTCACAGGCGCGAATGAACAGTTCAATATCATCGGACATACCAGGCCAATAGGAGCGCGATCGGGCCTGGGACGTTGTTCGATTGGTACCCATGTGACTAGCAGTGATGTGACTGTGAAGGAAGGCTAGCAATTCGAGTTGGAGCGACGGGGAACCACTAGCTGCAGGGAGTGCGAACTACCATCTTCTGATTCATACTTGCGGTACAGAATGTCGTTGTCGAGTATCAGGCGACTGAACTGATGGTAGAGAGCGAGACGGAACCTACTAGAACCTTGCAGTTCTAGGCTGTGACGAACAGGCCGCTGAGACTGCCGGACCCACGTCATAGCTGCGTTCACATTAAGATCCTGGTGTTGGGCATCACGGACCAGCGTTAGCGATGTAGGAGGCAGCGAAGCATCAGTACTAATGGCAGCATTTGTCAGAGCAGGGTCGACGGGCGGGGAAGGAGGTGTGCGAGAGAGACCATCCGCATTAGCATGAGCCTTACCAGGGCGATGGACAATGCGGTAATCGAACATAGCCAAGCGTTCAATCCAGCGAGCAAGCAAGCCATCTGTGCCAGTGAAGTTGTGCAGCCAGACTAAAGCTTTGTGATCTGTGCGTAGTGTGAAATGTGCGCCAGCAAGATAGTGACGGAAATATTCACAGAATGTGACAACAGCTAGAAGTTCCTTCTAAGTAGCACTATAGCGGCGTTGGCTATGTGAAAGGCTTCTACTAGCGTAAGCTACAACATGCTCTGTGCCATTTAAATCTTGCTGAGAGAGGACAGCGCCCATAGCAAAGTCACTAGCATCTGTGTCGAGGATGAACGTGTGATTCGGAATGGGGTATGCAAGAACCGGGCGGGTAAGAAGTGCATGGTTTAGCGTATTGAACGCATGAGATGAAGCATCTGACCAAGCAAATGTGGCTTTGGATTCTGTGAGGGCATGCAGTGGCTGGGCAAGCATTGAAAACTTTGGAATAAATCGGCGGTAGTACGACGCAAAGCCAAGAAATGTCCTAACTGCTGTCTTACTTGTGGGTTGACGCCAGGTGCGGACGGATTCCAGTTTACCAGGGTTAGGACGAATGCCGTCGTGGGCGAAGTGAAAGCCCAGGTAGACGACAGACGGTTGTAGTAGGTTGCATTTCGATGGCTTGATCTTCAGACCAGCTTTGCGGAGACACAGGAACACAGCGCGGAGGTTGGTGAGATGCTCTTGGAACGTCTTGGAGAACACAATGATATCGTCTAGATATACGAGGCAGATTGCTGGGATGAGGACACGAAGCACTGTAGACATCAGGCGCTGAAATGTGCCAGGTGCGTTGCATAATCCAAAGGGCATAACATTCCACTGAAATACGCCGAACGGAGTGGTAAAGGCAGATTTTACCTTGGCAGATTCAGTGAGCTCTACCTGCCAGTAACCGGATGCCAAATCTAGTGTCGAGAAGTACTTACAGCCTTGCATGGCGTCAATAGCATCGTCGACGCGGGGTAAAGGGAAGGCATCACGCTTAGTGCGCTGGTTGAGTTTGCGGTAATCGACACAGAGACGGATACTATCGTCCGGTTTTCGTACAACAACTATTGGAGCAGCCCATGGACTCGAGGAAGGCTCCACTATACCATCGTCAATGAGTCGGTCAATATGATCCCGCACCTCAGCTTGCCGGTGCACGGGCAGGCGGCGAGGCTGCATCCGAATAGGCTGGTCCGTTGTAGTAGGAATGTCGTGAGTGATGACTTGAGTGCGACCCACGTCAGATGGGCCGGTTGAGACGATGTCGGAAAACCCCTCTAACAGAGCGTGGAGCTGGGATTGTTGATCAGGCGGCAGATTGCTAGTGTTGAACATAGCAGTGACAGACTGAGCGGTAGCAGCAGCAGACGTATACTCGGTGGGGTAATCAGCAGGAGGTTTTGTGGCCGAAGAGTCGATGGTGCCTGGTGACAGTGAGCCAAGCGTGCAGTTCTCAGGTAGTGTGATGGGGTGCTCGTTGGGGTTGATCAGACGGACGGGCGCCATGTTATCAGTGACGGTAGCCAGAGTAGCGAGGCCGACAATGTGGTGAGTACTGCAGGTAGACTCACAAGGCTCAAACAGCAAGGGACTATCAGAATAATGGCGGGAAGCAACTTTTGCGGAGCAAATGTAATGAGACATGGCAGGGACGGTCACAGCAGCGGGAAGCGTGCATAAAACGGGAGTAGCGGAGAGCGAAGCGGCATGGACAGGTGACCTTGGTGACGGGATCACAGTGGGGGGAATGCAGGGGAATAACGTGACCAGCAATGGATATGTTGGAAGCGGCGAAATCAAGCGAACACGCTTAGGCATGCAAAAATTCAACCCCTAGAATGACCTTGGGATGGATGGAGGCAACTAAGAACTCATGCAGGACAGGCGGAGTGGTAGGCGAAACAGAAATGTGTAACTCAGCTTGACCTAAAATCGCTACAGACGAGCCATCCACAGAAAGAATGCGTGAGGGGGGTGGAGGGGACAGGGATGGGCGATTACTCAGAGAATCCCACAGTTTCTTGCTCACAATTGACTTGGAAGACCCACTGTCTAACAAAGCTTTGGAATCAACTGCGTTCACAGTCACAGGTATTACAGGTAGGCGGCATGCATGGTCGCGTCGAGACAAACTCGACGAAAAAAAGTGTAATGGGGAGAGGTCGGGGCGAAAAGCTCGTACATCAGGGAGGCGGTGGCGGTACAGCACAGTGAGCAAAACCATTAAAATCGTGAGCGTAACAGGGTGAGCAAGGAGCAAGACAGCAAGGCATATAAACACAGTGCTTACGTCAGTCCCGGAAGAGCAGGATGCGGCAGGGCTAGCGTCTGAGGTACTTAGTACTGCCGCCGGTAGTTTCCCGCCGGCGCAGGACGACGGGCACGGCATTCTCGGCTGATGTGCCCCTGTCGGCCACATGACCAGCAAGTGACAGGTGTGCGGCCTTGCGTCTGCGGGTGCTGTGGTAGTTGGTCAGGTCGGGACCGACGAATTGGTCCTGGCAGACTGGCCTCCAACGTAGCCAGACGGCCTAACACAGCTTTCAGTTGGTCTGTCACCGTGTTGAGTGGCTGGGAAACAGCAAAAGCAGGGATCGGCACAGGTTCCGTGGCGGGCAGTTCGGCAGCTAGGATTGCCTGGTGATGGAGCGCGGCCTGGAGGGCTCCGTCTGTCGTTTGCGGGTTTAGCTCCCGAACGCGGACCCGCATGCCCCGTGAGTCAAGCCCGGAGATAAACTGGTCTTTTGTCAGGCTGTCGAGGTCCCCCGCGGCCATCTGGGGGTAAGCTTGCCGGCCCAGGGAGCAAACCGCCTCACAGAAAGTACCCAGTTGTTCATCTTTTGCCTGGCGACGAGCTTGAAACGTTGCGCGATGGAGGTCAACGCGTTGCGCTGGATCAAACCGAGTTTGCAGCGCCTGGACTAGCTGTTGGCGGGCTCCGTTCCTAGTGGCCGCTGGGAGTGATTGGTAATACAGCTGGGCCTCGCCTTCCAGTGCGAGGCCCAGGAACTGCGTCTCTTGAACGTTGTTCCAGTTGTTTACCGCGGCGACATGGTCGAAATGCATCAGCCAGTACGCGAAGTTGTCCTGCAGGCGACCTTTGTATTTTTCCGGCTGCACATGGTACGCCCCTCTCGGTGGTTGGGCAGGAGCGGGCGGAGCTGGGGCTGCAGCGGGCGCAGCGACGGGTACCACAGCAGGTACATTCGGTTGAGCCATCGGATCGGAGTACGTGTAAAGTAAAAAAGTTATGTATAGAATGAAACAAAAAGAATTTACCGCTGCCACCAATTTGTAGCGGGCCGCAGTCTCTCGGAGGCAAGAACGCACAACGGTCTCAGTGAACACACTGTAATTGGCAATTGAAATGTACTGGCCACTGGCAATGAACTTAACTATAACTGATTGGCAACTAAATTAACTAACTAGCTATAAAAGAATAGTGCGCAGCAGCTTTGATACAAAGGCAGACTCCGTACGCTAATGTATGGGGATACAGTACGGGGATATGTTATACTCTAAACACTATACGCTTTGAAGTCCCCAGGGTGCCAACGCTACAATTCCACCTCACCGCAATTTAGCCTAATGCTGTAAATGCCTTGCAAACAGCTACACAATTTTGTACAACATACAATTAAGAAACATTAAACCTGTTGATCTGTTACATTTTCTTCAGCAACGCCGTATCTGAACTAGGGTCCGGCGGTTTCAGCCGGCAGAAAAATTGGCAGAAATCGGTACTTTTTCTGGTGAGTTTCATGCATATTTGGTATATGGATAAGGAAATGGAGCAGGATTCGAGGAATTGCCCGCCATAAGGTGTGTATGGTAATGCCAATTTCGCTATTTTTCGAGCAGAACCTGCCACCTTTACGAGCATAATCCGCCGGTCCCTAATCTGAACATATCGTGCATGGTTTTACAGAACATTTCCAAACCGTTTCTTGGAGTGTCCGTATGATATAACACTCACCACGTGAAAGCTGCAGAATATTCAGGAGAATCAGTGCAACTGTAAGTGGATGTCTTGCAGGAGTCCCTGAAAAACATCAACAGAAGAGATAATTTGTCGTTAAAATTAACGTAGTGTCTGGTGTTCAATCTAGTTAAGGACTTCGACTACTTTCCCGTTCCTGTCAACATGCGTTCCTTTGTGTAAGTACGTCTCACTGTTTACAAATCTGTTGAAGCATAATATCCCGGCGGTGCGTTTATGGTCTCTTGCTTGATGTGTAACGCAGAAGTACCAACAAACTCGGCCATTTGGAAATAATGGGAACCGTGCACCTCTCCTCACTGCGCTCTTGAGACACATTCACAACACCACACCATAGCGAAGAAGTTCATTATTGGGTAGATGATCCTTATCCTTCAGACAGCTGCTTCGCTGCTCGCGAAACCCACAGTGCTGCTGGAACGTGCATACAGATGGGGTAAGAATTTAAGCAAGCGTGCGAAGCAGACAATCTATTAGAGGTTCGCATTAACTTTGCCACACAACATGCATAATGCTAGATGGAAGTAACGGTCCCAAAGTGACGTCACCCTGATGCGAGAGAAGCGGAAGGCCAGACGACGCCACAGTCCCAGAGGCCCGTGGGGCATTCACTGCCCGCCCGCCGTGTGAGGTTTCTCCCTTGTCACCCCTGCCGTTGACGACAAAGTTGTTATTGTAGGCGCCCACGTAGACAGTGGTGGTGCGTATAAACCGCTTACCATCAAAGAGTCCCGTCAGGCAATCAATCCGTCAGGGCTGCGCAACCTCTAATGCAGCTGTTGAACACTTTCATTCCGCAGATGAAGTACAAGAGTAACATCCCGCTTGCTCATCCTGTCGCTAAACGGGACAACTATCAATAGCTCAGAAGCAGTGACAAACTAGGCCATTTGAAAATAAACTGAACCGTCCACCTCTCCACACTGCGCTCTTGGCGCACTTTCACAACACTACGCCATAGCAAGGAAGTTCGTTCTTTGGCAGCTGTTCCATATCCACCAGACAACTGTTTCGCTCATTAAGAGCTCCTCCGTGGAGTTAGGTAATGAATGAATAGCAAATAAGAGGAATCAGTACATAATATAGGGTAAAGTGTCGCAGTTGTGCGCTTTTTAAGGAGGAAAGTGGCATACCCAAAGATGTTGAAGGTGACAGAAGTTCCACAGGTGCACATGAAACCCACAGTTACACTGTAACATGCATAAAAATGGCGCTCTAATTTAGACAAGAGCGTGAAGCAGACCATCTATTAGCAGTTCGCACTAACGTTGCCAAACATACATGGACCATGCTAGAACGAAGTAACGGTCCCATAGTGACGTGACAACGATGCGACAGAAACAGAAGGCCGAACACTTCATGTGTGACATCTGAAATAGAATGCGTATTGCTCGTTGGCAATGCATCTGGAATACCAAACGATTTCTGTGCAATTTTTAAAACGTTACTATATTATAGCGATGAAAAGTATCAGTGGGGGTGGGCATTACGACAAGAAGAAAGAGAATATGGTGAAACTATAGTGAGTTTCAACAGTATAGACCTCTAGACGTTTCCGAATAATTCAAATTTGGGTTGGCCATTCCGGGAAATGTCTTCAGAATATTGCACGGGCAACTTTTCGCATCTAATTTTCTTGGTGGATCGCAAACGCCCAATTGACAGATTTTATCAGTCGGAAGAGCATGAGACTCTTAATCTCAGGGTCGTGGGTTCGAGCCTCACGTTGGGCGCCAATGTTGAGTTCGAAACAGGACGACTGACGACACATTATCCAAACATTACAACGGGAACAGGTAGGTTGGGGAACGACATTTATTATAGACGACGAGACAAGAGACCAAGACGAACGAAACGACTACATTGAAGAGTGAGAAAAGAGAGAGAGAGATCAAGTCTGAACGGCAAGATAAAGGGCCTGGGTAGCTATGGCAAATATGGGCGCGCAAGTAGCTACCCAGGCCAACGGAACAAAAGGTGAGTACGCAAGTGCATGCAGGCCAGCTAGAAAAGGTACGGGAGGAGGTACCTAACAGTGGTATAGATGCTTGCCTAACAGGTTTTGAAACAATAGGTCTGGACTTGTGAAGCACACTATCTATGCTAGCTGTACTAATCGATTTTCATGAGACAATCATTAGGGAACGTCGGTAAATGCGACTCAACAAGGTACACATGGGAGTCGGTCTCATTCGCGAGCGTTCTCCGTTTGAACAGTAAACACGATGTAAGAATGTCTAAATTACTGCAGGGCGCCCTTTGTAAAGTCAGGGTTCTTCTAAAAGAGTCTGCCACACGTAGTACTTCTCGTCAAGCAATTCACCCGCTCATGTATTTTGAACTATTTTCTTTGCCCTGAATCAATTGCACCTTCTTGACTTTTGGTTGTTACTTTATCACCATAATAATATTGGTCGTCATTACGCATTTGGTCTAGGATATAAAATTTCAACAACAACAATACCTCTAAGGAGATTCTGCATCCCATTTTCAAACATGTACATACTTTTAACACAAAGAGAGGGCAAGCAATCGGTACACTTTGATAACTACGTGTATAAAACATACTTCTGTTCGGGCCTGGCTTAAACCTGGCTTTCGAAAATTTATTTTTCATTGCTACCAGGTTCGGCATCATTTTCTCTGTGCTTCGCTGATGAGTAGAAAAAGACGAAACACGTGGGGCCGGAGATCGAGGAAAATACTTTTACATGAAGTTGGTTGTTCCAACCAGTAGGGAACACACGCTTCCTGTGGAACAAGACACTTGACTGACTCACGACTGCCATCCGGAGCACCCGAAGAGCACGGCGCACCTTCCATCCGGCTGCAAAAAAGCTCAACTCACACTGTGTTTCGAGGAATTCACCCGTCGCCAGTTGCACTTGAGTAGGTTGAGGAAGATTATGCCTGAGTAGTACCACTTATATAGTGCTCCCCAGGTACAAATATCACCAGGGATACAAACTTGCAGAAACTTGCAGAAACGCTTCGTTTCTTGCGCGACAAACACGTGGTGAAGCCCCAGGTAGCAGCGTGAGTCAGATTCGCTAATGGGGTTGTGCTAAAAAAACGCTGACAGCCAGGAGCTATTCACAACGCTGTCACCAACAACGACTGGTCGCATGTGCTCATGAATTGACCCCTCATTAGTCACGCCCAGCGATGAGGGGTGAATTAGCCGGAACACTGTGTATTGAGCAGCTAGTGGTGCTTTCTTGCAGGTTCTTGCAGTTCGGCAGGAAGCGTTTGTTCCTCCTTCGAACAACCAACTTCATCACTAGTACCGCCTTAGTCGCAACTTCTAAGTTCATGTTGTTATGGCTCAGGTGGGCGTGGGACTAGTTGTTAGAGGTGACAGGGTTGTGAATAGCTACTAGCTCTCAACGTCTGTTCAGCAAAACTCCAAGAGCGACTCTGACTCACGCTGCTACCTGGGCCCTCACGAGGTGTTTGTCTCGCTGGAAACAAAGCATCTCTGTAAGGTTGTATCCCTGGTGATGGTTTGGCCTGGAGAACAGTAAATGTATATAAGTGGTGCTTTTCAGGCACAATCTTCCGCAGCCTACTCAAGCTCTACTGATGAGGGGTAAATTCCCCGAAACACTGTGTGTTGAGCAGGATTTGGTGCTTTCTTGCAGGTTTGCGGATTGGAAGGAGGGAAGTGCTCCTCGTGTGCTCCGGATGGCAGTCGTGAGTCAGCGAGTGTCAAGTTCAGCAGGAAGCGTGTGGTACTCGGTAGAACCACCAACTTCATCACTAATAAGGCCGATGTTGCAAATTAAGTTCATACTTTTACGTAATGTGATATTTAAAAAAATTCTCACTTACACTTTCCGGGCATTCTAAATTGTGGCGTGCGATGTCGGCAAAAGGACTGATTCAGTAGAGAGCAATAGAATCCAAATCGAGCACCGAATACCTGCTCTGATTTTAACTAGGTCAAAGTTTGCGTCAAATCTGATCTACATCTGAGCTGTTGCATACACCAAGCCCACCAGTAAACTACTACATTATTTTTGTACTGGAGGTGAGCATTAGGACAGTGGCAAAAGTAACATCAAATCAACACTGGATAGCAGTAGCTAGATATGCGTATCTCTGTAGTTGAACAAGTTGTTGTGGACAGTTGACAGCAGGGTGGGTGTGTTGTCGTCTGTCTACCAGCTGTTCACATCAGTAGATGCTATGACTGATCATCTTGTGTATTTTCCCACATACCAGTACATGTACTCGTAAACTACACGAAATCTGAAAGTTGCCGCATCCTGTTATGGGTTGTTCTGTATGCACATGGGTAGACGAAATCTTCCATCGATATCTTGGAGAGAATAGAAACCGTTATCATCTCTTCTACTTCTATTCTACATGACACTCAAAGTTGAATTTATGTATATCTTTATCTTGAATGCTGTGTGCATGGGTACCATGGTGCACAATCTAGCTTCCGTTATTTTTCCCTGAGTGCGCAATGTGTTTATCCCGAAGTTGTGCAAAGGCTTAGCAGAACCCGGCGATCATGGTGCTGCGAGCTACTTCAATTTCAAGTCTGGCTTGGGCTTCAGCAAAAAACGTGTTTTTGATCATACCAGATCGTTACAGTCTGGCATTGATTGTCGATCGTCAAGCTCAAATCTGCATTCGGCTGTATGACGTGTACCATGGCTCAGAAACGCTTCCACGACACAAAAGATATCTTGCTCTGCTTTGAATTCCATGTGTTCAAAATGTTTTCAAACCTCGCAGAGTCCTGCAGCTTTTGACATTCTAACAGTTTCCAGGCACTGTCGATAAAGGCAAGCGTCACTCAAGCAACTGTTGTATGGTTTTGCATTGATAAGACATTTCCTTCGGACTCTGAAACTCACGCCTCCAGGGAGACATCAGCTGGTGGACTTATGCCCTCGCGGTGCCCACACTTATCACGCATGCATTCTGGTTTGCCATTCGTCATGCTACGAGTTCGATATTATTTTAATTTGGATGGTAGCAATAGGGGTGATCCTTTTTGTGTCCAGTCAGACCCTAAACCTCGTACCAATTCGAACATACTGTCTCGGAAACAACAGTCATGCCGCCTACCTGAAAATGAATTAATCGTACTTTTCAAGTACAGCCGCAGGTCATTCCAGTTCCCTCCGAAATCCATTGTGTGCCAAGAAGATGCAACCAAGCCAAGTGAAGTATATCTAGCACGGTGTGTCGGCCACAACAGCTATCTGGTATCGCATTAACTACCTGGCGAATATCATTGACCATTGATAAAGGAATCCTCTCATCGACGAACGCGGAAAAGATTTCAATCATGTCCTATTGTGTGTATGTTTATGCACGAGGAAGGTACATGACTGGCCACGTAAAATCAAAAAGGCTCGAGCAGGCTCTGCAGCCGATTATTGTGGTAATGCAGCAATGCAGTCAGCTGTACTAGTGAATTATACATCACAAGCCAGTCAAAGCCAGTGTTGCGCAGTACATGAATAACATTGTAGTATACATTCATGCAAATTTTGAGTTGTTTTTTCAGTCTCTAAATAGACAGAAGCAGGCAGTTGGCAATACCACATGACAGTTAGCTGTTACGTTTGCTGTCAGACGATCTATTCATTTATCCAGCTAAGCAGGACTAGCTGATAACTACTGGGTATGCTCTTTGTTGACGAATACTTGTACAGTACCATCCTGGTCATCTTTCCCTACAAGAGGAATCAAAAGTGTTCATTCGGAGTTTCTTTTTCTAAGAAAGGGTTTGCTAACCACACTGGAGCTCGCGCTATTCCGCCGACTTTACTTGACACTTGACTTATTCACAACTGCCATCCAGAGCACACGAGAAGTCCATCGAACCTTCGACTCAGCAAACCTGCAAGAAAGCACCACTCCCTGCTCAATACACAGTGTTTCGGGGAATTCACCCCTTATAGTTGAGCTTGGGCAGGCTGAGGAGGATTGAGCCTGAAGAGCACAACTTATAATTAGTTTGGAGCATTATAGTGCTCTCCAAGCACAAGCACCACCAGGGATACAAAATTACAGAGAAGCTAGGTTTCCAGTGCGACAAACACCTCGTGAACACCAGATAGCAGCGTGAGTCAGTGTCGCTTCTGGACGGTGAGAACAGACGTCGAGGACCCTTGGTCATTCGCAACGCTGTCACCTCCAAACCAACTAGTTGCAAGCCCGCGCTGGGCACAACACTTCGAAGTAGTGGTTGCAACTTCGGCGATGATTTGTAAGAAAGCGTTTGCTCCCCACACTGGAGCTCGCGATATTCCGCCGACTTTACGTGACACTTGACTGACTCACAACTGCCATCCAGTGCACACGAGAAGTCCATCGAACCTTTGACTTGGCAAACCTGCAAGAAAGCGCCACTCCTGCTCAATACTAAGTGTTTCGGGAATTCACCCCTCATCAGCTGAGCTTGAGTAGGCTGTTGTGCCCAGCGCAGGCTTGCGACTAGTTGGTTTGGAGGTGACAGCGTTGCGAATGACCGAGGGTTCTCGACTTCTGTTCTCACCGTCCAGGAGCGACACTGACTGGGGTGCTCTGGATGGCAGTCGTGAGTCAGTCAAGTGTCAAGTAAAGTCGGCAGAATAGCGCGAGCTCCAGTGTGGGGAGCAAACCCTTTCTTACAAATCATCGCCGAAGTGGCAACCACTACTTCGTACTGTTGTGCCCAGCGCGGGCTTGCGACTAGTTGGTTTGGAGGTGACAGCGTTGCGAATGACCGAGGGTTCTCGACTTCTGTTCTCACCGTCCAGGAGCGACACTGACTGGGGTGCTCTGGATGGCAGTCGTGAGTCAGTCAAGTGTCAAGTAAAGTCGGCAGAATAGCGCGAGCTCCAGTGCGGGGAGCAAACCCTTTCTTACAAATCATCGCCGAAGTGGCAACCACTACTTCGTACTGTTGTGCCCAGCGCGGGCTTGCGACTAGTTGGTTTGGAGGTGACAGCGTTGCGAATGACCCAGGGTCCTCGACGTCTTTTCTCACTGTCCAGGAGCGACACTGACTCACGCTGATATCTAGTGTTCACGAGGTGTTTGGCGCGCTGGAAACGGAGCGTCTCTGTAAGTTTGTATCCCTGGTGATGTTTGTGCCTGGAGAGCACTATATAAGTGGTGGTCTTCAGGCACAATCTTCCCCAGGTTGCTGCATGAGTCAGAGTCACTCATATGGTTGTGCTAAATAGACGCTAAGGGCCAGGAGCTATTCACAGTGCTGTCACCTCCAACAACTAGTTGCACGTCCTCACGACTCAACCCCTCATCAGTCACGCCCAACTGATGAGGGGTGAATTATACGAAACACTGTGTATTGAGCAGGGAGTGGTGCTTTCTTGCAGTTTCTTGCCGTTCGGCAGGAAACGTGTGTTCCTCTTTGGAACAACCAACTTCATCACTAGAACTGCCCTAGTCGCAACTTCTAACTTCATGTTGTTGTCCCTCAGGCGGGCGTGGGACTACATGTAGTTGTTAAAGCCTAATAAAGGTAACAGCGGTGTGAATAGCTACTGGTCCGCAACGTCTGTCTATCACAACGCCTAGAGCGATCCTGCCTCACGCTGCTACCTGGGGCCTCACATGTTGTTTGTCGTGCTGGAAACGAAGCGTCTCTGTAAGTTTATATCCTTGGTGATGGTTTGGCCTTGGGAGCACTATAAGTGATTATCTTCACGCGCAGCCTTCCTCACCCTACTCGAGCACAACTGATGAGGGGTGAATTCCCCGAAACACTGTGTGTTGAGCAGGATTTGGTGCGTTTTGCAGGTTTGCGGATTGGAAGGAGCGAAGTGCTCCCTGTGTGCTCCGGATGGCAGTCGTGAGTCAGTCAAGTGTCAAGTTCGGCAGGAAGAGTGTGTTCCTCGTTAGAGCAACCAGCTTCCTCACTAGTACGGCCGATGTCGCAACTTCTAAGTTCATACTTTTACGTTTTTTGTAATTTACAAACATTCTCACTTACACTTTCCGGCCATTCTAAAACTGTGACGTGCGATGTCGCCAAAAGGACTGATTCAGTAGAGAGTAATAATATTATAATCCAAATCGAGCACCGAACACCTGCTCGGCTTTGCACTAGGTCAAAGTTTGCGTCAACTCTGATCTACATCTGAGCTGTTGCATACACCAAGCCCACCAGTAAACTAATACATTATTTTTGTACTGGAGATGAGCATTAGGACAGTGGCAAAAGTAACATCAAATCAACACTGGATAGCAATAGCCAAATCTGCGTATCTCTGTAGTTGAACAAGTTGTTGTGGACAGTTGACATCAGGATGGGTCTGTTGTCGTCTGTCTACCAGCTGTTCACATCAGTAGATACTATGACTGATCATCTTGTGTACTTTCCCATCTACTAGTACATGTACTCGTACACTACACGAAATCTGCAAGTTGCAGGCTCCTATAATGCGTTGTTCTGTATGCACATAGGTAGACGAAATCTGCCATCGATATCTTGGAGAGAATAGAAACCGTTATCATCTCATCTACTGCTATTCTACATGCCACTCAAAGTTAAACTCATGTAAATCTCTAACTTGTATGCTGTGTGCATGGGTACCATGGTTCACAATCTAGCTTCTGCAAATTGTCCCTGATTGAGCAATGTGTTTGTCTCGAAGTTGTGCAAAGGCTTAGTATCACCCGGCGATCATGGTGCTGCGAGCTACTTCAATTTTAAGTCTAGCTTGGGTTTTCGCAAAAATCGTGTTTTGGATCATCCCAGATCGTTTCTAAAGATAATAATGTCTACAATCTGGCCTTGATTGTCGATCGTCATGCTCAAATCTGCATTTCGGCTGTATCACGCGTCCCATAGCTCAGAACCGCTTCCACGACGCAAAATAATACCTTGCTAAGCTTTGAATTCCATGTATTCAACATGTTTTCAAATCCCGCAGAGTCCTGCAGCTATTGTCGTTTCCAGGCACTGTCGATAAAGGCAAAGCGTTACTCAAGCAACTGTTTTATGGGGGTGCCGTGATAAGACATTTTCTTCAGACTCTGAAACTCACGCTTCCGGGTGTGACATTAGCTGGTGAACCTACGGCCTCGCTATGCCCACACTTATTACGCATGCATTCTGGCTTGCCGTTCGTCATGCTACGTGTTCGACATTGTTAAAAACATTTTTTTTAATTGTGATGGGGGTTATCCTTTTGTGTCCGGTCAGACCCTTAACCTTGTACCAATTCACACATACTGTCTCAGAAATAACAGTCATGCCGCTTACCTGAAAATGAATTGGTCGTACTTATCAAGTACACCCGCAGGTCATTCCAGCTCCCTCCGAAATCCATTGTATGCCAATATGATGTAACAAAGCCACGTGAAGTATATCTAGCACAGTGTGTCGGACACAACAGCTATCTGGTGTCGCATTAACTACCTGGCGATTATCATTGACCATTGATAAAGGAATCCTCTCATCGACGAACGCGGAAAAGATATCAATCATGTCCTATTGTGTGCATGTTTACGCACCAGGAAGGTACATGACCGGCCACGTAAAATCAAAAAGGCTCGAGCAGGCTCGGCAGCCGCTTATTGTGATAATGCAGTAATGCAGTCAGCTGTACTAGTGAATGATACATCAGTAGCCAGTCAAAGCCTGTGTTGCGCAGTACATGAATAACATGTACATATACATTCATGCGATTTTTGAGTTTTTTCAGTCTCTAAATAGACAGAAGCAGGCAGTTGGCAATACCACATGACAGTTAGCTGTTACCTTTGCTGTCAGACGATCTATTCATTTATCCAGCTAAGTAGGTTTACCTGGTAACTACTGGTTATGCTCTTTGTTGACGAATACATGTACAGTACCATCCTGGTCATCTTTCAGTACAAGACGAATTAAAAGCGCTCATTCGGAGTTTTTTTTCCCGAGTTCCTTTATAACCACTGCCTCCAACAGTAAGGATATGTTTTGTTTCTGGTGTTTCTTACACATTCTGTTTCTCTATGATTTTCTTTCATGATATCATTCTGATTCTGTTACAACTGTACCCCCATACTGGCGATTGATTCCTTATGATTGCCACAAGAAAACGCTTCTATAATAATGATATCTAAACTTCTTCCTTATGACTGATGATGACCACGTTTACATTCGTGTCAATAGTATGGTTTGTCTCCTTGCGGATTTCATTTGTCCTGTTCATATTCTTGTCGGTTATTACTACAGTCATGCAATTTTTGGCTTTGCGGTTTGTTCTGATTGCTAAAATAATAAAGTTAGACTGAGTCTACACGGAGACGAAACGGAATAAATGAAAGTGAGCCAAAACGCACTGCCTTCGAATCGTTTTCAAACCATTTACACGAAAATGGGGTTGTGAGGTTCTGGCCTGGCGCAAGGGCGAGGAACAACACCCTAGTTTGAGCTGGGGAGCTCATGGACGCTGTCTGTGCATTTGGTTTGAATATTTCCCATACGATTTAGTATATTTCGTGATTCAAACGGACGAGTACGCCAAATTACGGGAATGCGAACACCAGAAAGAGAGAGAGTATGTGTGTAAGAAGAAAAGAAGAAGAACAAAAGGGCTACAGTGAGCAGATCTCACCTGCTATGAGCAAAGGGCGTTGAACTCAAGTCTACCTACGTGCACAGTACATTCACGTCAATTGGTTGACACCTGGATACCATCTGTCACGAATTACCATCGCAGGTATGAGATAGTGCTTGAGGTTCATGTGACTCAAGCTCATGATAATCATACATGTATGTCTCTCTCTCTCTCTCTCTCTCTTTCTCTCTCTGCTATTGGCGCGCCTGGTTGTGATGACGCCGAGACCCAAGGTCGGCAGAGCATCCCAGACCACACCACCACTCCCCTTATTCATGGCTCACACATGACGGATTTACGTGGTTCTAGTAAAAAAAAAATTCAGAAGGGGTCTGCATGTAACGCTCACCCGAACTACAGTACTGTCGGGAGGAACTGGGTGACAATGTCTTAGCCTAGCCTTTTATTTTCCATGTACATATCTACGCTCAGTTGAATCACAGGCTAATAATAATTTTATCAACAAGCTGTTCCTGGTGGACTTCTTGTCTCTTTGGTCTTGGGTGCTCCATACCTCGGCGCCCGGCAGTACTTGTTTTCCTTGATTGGAATGTTGCCAGACACCAGGCATACCTGATTGGTAAGTTATCGCAACATTTCACAAGCATACCAGTGAGCACTAGTCTAGGAATATATTTGAACTTTGTATACTACACGTTTTGCATGCGGATGCAGTTTTTGGCACTCCGCCCAAACGTGAGATTTTGACTCTTTTCGTAGTTCGGTGAGCCTTTGGCTCCCGTGGACCCACGGAAACGAAGATGAATGCTGAGATAGACCTCGCCCTGCTGGGCTTTGACAGGCTGAGATAGCTGGGACGGCAACAGGGTATTGTGGGATGCGATGGCCTCGCAAGACCGGAACTGGTCTGTGCACTGCGGGACGCTGGAATTGGATCTCACTGGACCTGTAGCAGTAAGTCGCAGTCTGACACTCTAACTAGCTTAGTAGACCAGGTCACTTGCCTCACCAAGGAGCTATCCTTGATAACATCAATGAAGGCCGAAATACTTACATTGAAGGCAGATTTGGCCGATCTACGTGCATTGTCTGTACCCCATGACAGTTTGCAGAGCTACCACCCTGCTGGAGCTCTTTTGGAACCAACCTTGCCTGCTGTCACCGTACAACCCCAGAACCTACGCACATCACCAAATGCAACCCAGATTGAAACCAGGCCCGCCAAAAACGGCACCTATCATCCTCCAGCACTGTACAGCACCACCGTACAGGCTGGGCACCAGGGACCAAATAAGGCATACGACACACGTAATGAGACCACCGTTCCCTCGACACGAGTCACATCGTACTACGAGAATCGCCCAAAGCCCTCGGAACAGCTGTCAGGAGGGTCCCGCACGAAGTGTTGCGCACTATATTTGGGCAACGTAAAGAGTGGATGCTCCTCTGACTCGATTGCCAAGTGGTGTACAAGACGAGAAATACAAGTAATCAAGTGTTCAGTCTCGGAAACCAAATACTTTGGAGTGGCATTCGCCCACGTCGTCATTCCAGCGGAACACAAGGAAGCAGCCCTCGGTCCAGATTTCTGGCCTCCAGAGGTCACTGCAAGAGAATGGCGCTTTAAGCAGGACAGGATCACCTCTGACCACGCTTCAAATCAGTAAACATGTCTACTCTAAATCCACTCGCACCACCCTTCACCCCCAGACCACATCCTCCTTCACCACCTCCCAACCCTCTTCCCCGTCTCTCATTCGGCCACATCATCATTTGCAGCCTGCGCAACAAAGTTTTCGTCATTAAGAAACTCATTGCTGATAACGCCCTAAATATACTCGCAGTCACTGAGACCTGGCTGGATTCCAGTGTATCAGATGAGGAATTAGCAATTATAGGTTTTACATTATTTCGATGTGATCGACCTTGCAAGGTCCGATGTTCTTGTACAAGTGGCCAACCGTGTCAGAAAAGAGGAGAAGTTGCCTTTTACAGCCGCTCTGACTTAAACTTCAGCAAAGCAAGTATCCTGGTCCATGGAATGGAGATAATTTGGCTGCGCTCTACAGCAAAGATAACTGGGAGAGCATTTCTTCTTGGCTGTTTGTATCGTCCTCCTTCAGCCGATGCTAAATTTTGGTGCTGTGTTCAGGAGCTTGTCCACCACATCCAGGGCGAGGCGACCTGAACATTGATTCATTCCAGACCAATAGGCCAATGTATCAAAGCATACACTCATCGCTACTTCTTCCCCTTAACCTCCTGAACAAAGTTTGTTCTGCGACACGGACCACCCCCTCATCTGCTTCGTCAATTGACTATATCCTCACAAATCTGGCTGCAGTCAGAGACGGAGTAGTGTCTCCCTGCGAGTTCTCCGATCATGATCTGGTTTATGCAGCATTGGATGTAAAGTCCAATACACAACTGCCTGCTTACGATGTTACCTTGAAGACCCGCGACTATAGGAACATC